TATATATATATATATATCGTATTACAAGTATTTGATTTTTGTTTTCTCCAAAAAAAATGTACAAAAAAATCTCAATCATTTTAATAATTCAAAAACACTTTAAACACTCAAAACTCTTGTCTTTGTACATACAACATTGCACCTCCAAAGTCTCGTTTTTTTTTTTTTGGGTACAATTGTCTCCTAATCTTTTGGGTGCCCTTATTTTTCAAACCCTAATCATTTCGTATGTTGCGATAACGACACAAAAAAGCTTAAAAGAACGAGCGTTTCGCAGGAGCTCGACCGACGACCCTCATCAAGTTGGCCACTTCCAAGACCCTTGCCACTTTGGTTCCTCTCTTTGCCTCTGCCGTCGCTCTCCTTTCTTCTGCTTTCCTTCGAGCTTTCGCTATCTCGTTTTGCATCTTCTCCATTGCTCGTGCTCGTTTCGCCTCCAATTTCCTCTGCATGATGCAAAGTCAGTGTTCCAATAGCATCGTCAATCTTACTAACAAATCCAATTCACTTATTGAAAAAAACCCTAATCAAATGAACTTCATATAAAGACCGATTTAAACCACATGGGTGGTGCATGATTGGTTTGAGCTTGACTCCAAAGGTCAAAAGTACTTGGAGGTCCCAGGTTCAAATCCAATGAGAAATAAAAATCCCCTTGCGGCCATGGAGGTCCAAATGCGGTGACTCCGGGCTATCTGCAAAGCAGGTGGTCGCCCTGAGACTAGTCGACTTGCATAACGGGTTGGATATCCAGGTTAATAAAAAAAAAACTGATTTATTTGTTGAAATATCACATATTCAAATCCAAAATTATAAGATTGATGAATTTCCCTTTAAGAAATGCAATAATTGAATGAATTATGTAATGCTCCACACTTTCATGATTAGACCCTAATTAGTTATTCAACTTTATGTTGTAACTTGTGCTTTACAGACTTGTACCTTGTGCATCAAGAACACGTAATAAGAACACATATTACCAATTAACTACTTGATGCAGACACGAGTGTTTCTTCTGAATATTCAATTATTACTGATTCAGACCTTATCTGATTTCTTCTGTTTTAGCTTTTTCATTAAGCTGGTTGAGCTGTTTACTAGATTTGTTTGATTTCGAGCGTACCTCGACTATCTTCATCCACGAACTCGACTTCTGAACCTGTTCATTCTCCCATCCGTTGATGATGGCGTCGTCGCGTTTGAACCGATTGTTGATCTTCGAAATCTTGGCGTTTTGCCAAGCGGATATCTTCGATTCGACCTCCTCTTTCTTCACCGTTTGAACGGACACCTCACCAGGGTTTCCGCCCGTGGTTATCATCGACCTCGTGCCGCTAGGTGACGCCTCCAACGGATTATGATCCGGGACAATCGCCAACGGATTATGATCCGGGACAATCGCCAACGGATTAGTCTCCGTCATCTCTTCCTCCCCGATCCTTTCCAAGTTGCTGCTACTTTCATTGTTTGTATTCGTACTGTTCGCCACCTCGCTGTTTTCGCTTCCGTTCACGTGTATGCCGGTTCCCGCTAGCACGAGGGCGTTAAACTCTCGACTCATGGTGGTGAAGCTTTCGCCTTCGGTGCTGGCGACTGAGAGGGAGGAGGATCGGTGGTGGCTGGTGGTTTCCCAGTGGCGGTGGGGGTAGGCGGGCGGTGGTGGTGGAAGAGGGGAGGTTAGAGCATGGATTTCTCTTATGTTTTCATCATCATCATCATCATCGTCATCATCATCATCATGGTGTGGATGTGTGGAAGATGAAGGTGGTCTTTGATCATTGGACATATTTGTTTTGTGTGAAGATAACAAAACACAAAAGGGAATTGAAGGAGAGAGAAGGGGGTTTAAAGCATAATAAAGTATGAGTTTGATGATATGATTAATGTTTTAGGTTTTAATTAAACAAATATAAACCACATAAAAAAGATAACTTGCATGGATACCACAATCAAACACTAACCCACCATTCAAAACATTATAAATAAAGATTGATTGGTTTAAGCTTGACTTCAAAGGTTAAAAGTATCAGGAGCTTCCAGGTTTAAATTCAAGAAGGAATAAAAATCCTCTTGTGGCCACAGAGGTTCAAATGCGGTGACTCCGGGCTATCTACAAAACAGGTGGTCGTCCTGGGATTAGTCGGCTCGCATAGCGGGTTGGATATCCAGGTTAATAAAAAAAAACATTATAAATACTAATTTCTTATTTAAACCCATCCCTCTAACACTAAAAAAGTACAGAGATCATCGATATTGATCTCTATATTTGAAGGGCAAAGATAAAATGTTGGTTTGTGATAACCGTGAGATCCAATCTAAACCACAAATCAAATGTTAAATTAGAAAATTAATAATTATGTTGAGAAGGATGGTTAAGGTGAAAAACTTAAGAAGAGATCTAACAGTTATATATTTAATGTTGGAATTGTGTATAATTTCTTAAAAGCCATGTTTTTTTTTTTTGATTAACCTGGATATCCAACCCGCTATGCGAGCTGACTAGTCCCAGGACGACCACCTGTTTTGCAGATAGCCCGAAGTCACCGCATTTGAACCTCCGTGGCCAAAAGGGGATTTTTATTTCTCCTTGGATTTGAACCTGAGACCTCCAAGTACTTTTGACTTTTAGAGCCAAGCTCAAACCAATCATATACCACCCTTGTGATTAAAAGGCATGTCTTTTGGTCTAATGGTTTACAATATTTTTGATTTATTTTAAAAAATGAATGTGTAATTAATTAATTTAAAAAGCATATTGAACCGAAAATAAACATCCCTTCATTATTCAATTCAATAATTTTGATGTAAAACAAAACTATAGCTTGAATGTGACGTTCTAAAAGTGGGAAAAGGAGAGTTTGGGTTAAATTTGGCATCTTTAAATAGGGTTGTAGATGAGTTTGGTTAGTTGGTTGGGTTGGAGACATTTAAACAACTTAATTTAATATTTACAATTTAAAAATCTCAATACAATCCAATTCAGACAAAACTATAACCCAACCTAACCCAAACTGTGCGGGTTGGGTTGGCGAAATTGAAATTTTTGGTACATTATTTTACAATCTAACTAAACATGTGTGTTTAAATGAAGTAAAATCAAAATGATAACATATAAAAAGAGCTGACAAACTCAAAAAAAAAAAAGTTGAAAGTTTTTGTAAATAAGAAACTAAAATTACAGTTGAAATTGTGATGTAATTTTGATTATAGTTAATTACTGGTTGGCCGAATGTATAATATATATATATATATATATATCAAGAACTTAACAATCATATTAGGGTTATGTTTAACAAACTATCTGGTGGTTGAAAAGCTAGCTGGTAGCTGAAAAGTCAGTTAATGAACAAATCATGTATGTCAAAACTAGCTGATGAGAATGTACAATGACTAAAAGGGTATCATGAAAAATTAATCAATTAAAAATATAATTGAAATAAATCTCTAATAATATAATATATTAACTAATACAAACAAGATGATAAAGAATTAAAAGAAATATAATATATTGATTAAAATGATTTCAAATTGATTATCATAAATACTATAATATTTAAATTTGTTAAAACAAATTTTAGAAAAAATCTATTATTTAAGATTTTAAATAACCATTGAATATAACATGAATAAAAATAAAAATAGTTTACCTCATATATCTTAAGAATTAATATTTAAAAAAACTGTATTTAATAATTAAATTAAAATTTTTATTCCAATTATTTAACACATTTTTATCATATACCAGAGGGAGGCGTACGACTTCCTTGAGGGTAAGGTGGAGCCGATGACCAATTTACTGAGTAAAGATAGCTTCACCTGGAATGAAGAAGCAACAAGGGCTTTTAGCTGATATGCGCCGGAGAAAGCTAGGTACCGTAGGTAAGTTCTATTTGGCCCGGAGCATTGATTCCTCATAACGAATAGGCTAGCTCGATCTCTCAATTACCTATCCTGTGCTCGAGAAGGTCCCTCGGTTCCTCGACAACATCTCGAGAAGCATTTAATTGTCCTACATGAGGATTGCTTGGTAAGCAAGCAAGCAGTTATAGTATTGCATGACCGAATAATTTAAGGAAGGGCGTATCACAGGGAGGGTCCTTTTAAGTGGATGATTTGTCGGGCTGTCGGAGAAATTACATAAACATTATTAAAATTGTGATATTTACGTTTTGATAATTAAATATATTTAATAATAATTAAAAACTAATAATAAGAAAATAATTGATATGATTATTAATTATTATAAATAATTAATAGTATAATGTATAATTAATAATTAATTTTCAATTTATANGGTAATATTTAAATCTTGTTAATATTTATTTATAATTAATAGTATTAAATAATAATTAATATTAATGAGAGTATAATTGAAAAAAGTGATAATAAGCTACTAAAGTAGCGTTTCAATAAACTAGCTTATGTATATCCAAACATTTACCCAGAAGATAAGTTAACTTATATGCTAGTTTATTTTTGCCAAACAATGCTTAAACTATTGTACAGAAAGACATCAGGCTTATCAGGTTGGATTATGTTCAAATGGCTCTAACCAGATTCCAACACAATAAATACAGTTTAACCTAGTTTTGCATCAACTATGTGTCAGATTAACTCAGATTGAATTTCTTCGGTTTTTTCATGTTGGATTGACCAATTTGGTCGGGTTGGTTGGTTTTTAATTTTGAGCACCCCTATATTTAAACGTAAACCCATTTTGTTAATCATGAATTATGTCTGATTACGATAGAGATGGAATTTTACGTGTAGAAAAAAAAAACTATGAACATTATTGATTTATTGTAAAAAGTACAACTTTATTATGTCTTTTAAAACAATTTATATTAAAATAATACGTTTCTCGTTACAATTTATATTTTAATATCTATATTTAAAAGTTTCATTTTGATATCTATGATAGAACATCTTAATTTTTTTTTTAATAATTTATATATATTTTATTTACAAACTTATAATACGCTAGGGACAGACACATCCGTTTGGAAGTGGGGAAATGTGATAACCGGGTTAATTGAATTGAAAGTTTGGGATGGATTTTATAATATGATAAAAATTGGGGGATATGTTTTGAAAATTGTTTAAAAATATTTATATTTACACTGCCTCTCTTTTTAAAATACATATATACATGTATGTGATTTTCTATTATTTTGGGGTTGGTTTTAAAAGAGATAAATATAGAAAGAATAGTTGATGTTTGTGCTTTTTGTGCTCTTTTTTATTAACATGGATATCTAACCCGCTATGCGAACCGACTAATATCAGGAATCAGGACGACCACCTATTTTGCAGATAGCCTGGAGTCATCGTATTTGTACCTTCGTGGTCACAAGGGGAGTTTTATTACTCATTGGATTTGAACCTGAGACCTCCTGGTACCTTTGACATTTGGAGTCAAGCTCAAACCAATCAGACACCACCCTTTTTGTGCTTGGTTCGAAGTAAAACAAAAAGAAGAAGAAAAAACGAAACTGCTTACGTGATTATTTGATTTATTGTTGCTCTTAAAACTTTCATGTAATTATGATTACAATGTGAGTTTTATTTTAAAAAGTGTTATTTGATTTGCTTTTGGTGAGGAAACCGTATGGTTTTCTGTTTTCATACGTGGGACGCTCTAAATTGATTGTATGTTATTTTTAGCATGAGTTTGAGTTTTAATATGTTATTATCAAGCGATTATAATAAGGGTGACACAATCATAAGCTGTGTATATTTGGTAATAAGGGTGGTAAAATCAAGAGCTAGATATAATTTGTAATAAAGATGGCATAATCAGGAGTTGAGTATATTGTTGTAATAAATGTGGCATAATCAGAAGTTGGGTATATTGGGATAAAAGTGACATAATCAATTTTTAGAAATGATGATCTTTTGATCATGGGATTATTGTTATCGTATCTGTATGATGCGAGGGGGTTCATTTTTATCATATGTGCTTGATGCGATAAGTTTGAAATGGATTTAAAGTGTTGTGTTATCACATCCTTGAGATGCGACAAAGTGAGGTTATCGCATCTGAAGGGTGCGAGGAGATTGTGGTTATCGCATCAATAGGACGCGACAAAGGGGGATGCTCACATAGTATGTTATTGCATTTGTATTATGCAATGAAATGGGTGATTTTATTTCATGATGCGAGAAAATTGTTATCTCACCTATATGGTGCGATAAAATGAGGTATTGATGCAATAAATGATATTTTTATTATTTATTTAAAGATGGGTTTTCCAAAAGATGATCTGGTGATTTTCACCCTGTAATATGAATCAAAGGGAATTATTCACTAAATCTTATGATTAATTTTCATTTTGTGTTAAAAAAAGTGTATTACAGGTCGGACACAAGTGGGAGGGAAAATGTGAAAGAAGATTATTATTGCTTTATATCTATAGATTTTGGGAAACTGATTATGCACATGTACTTAAAAAGTTGACATATATACAAGTCATGAACTTGGTGTAAACGAAAAATTTGTAGCCACTTTTGTATGTAGCAATTTGTATACATTGGGATAGTATCTATATTTATATTTCATGTTATATGAAATATGTGGGTTATATGCAAATGTGAAATAGAGTATTACAGAAAAGACTTAGGTGGCGTTTGTTTTTTAAGAGGTGTTGAAGTCTGAAGTCTGATTTCACTTCTGATTTTTAAGAGGTGGTGCTGAAGTCTGAAATCTGAATCAGTCAGACTGTTTGTTTTTGCAAACTGACAAACGTCTAAAGTCTGAAATCTGAATCAATAGTTTGCTTTTATAAC